GAGTAGGGAACAGACTGGGGCATGGCCAGGGGTCAGGGGTCAGGGGCTTGGACCTGAGACAGAAGCCACCTGCTTTTTTCAGACTTCCTCTAATCAACAGGCATTGCCCTCCAGTCAGAGGTAAAGGAACTTGGAAAAGGGAAGATCATGCTGAGCTGTCGTCCTGAGACCCTGGCCTCCCCTTCCACTCCCTGTGTGCAGCCTGGCCTTAGAAGTTTGGGTTAAGCATCAAGGGATAGAGGGTGGCATGAAAACAGAGTCAAGAGGGACTGCTTGACGCCCTTCTTTAGCTTCCTAGGGTTGGTACAGTCTAGGGGTCTTGATCCAGCATTCAGAGCAGCCCTCGGATTGTGGGGTTGAGAATCGGGGTTCCCCAGACTCCAAAGTGGGCACTGCACAGTGTAGCCCCCATTTACATCTGAGGTAGAGGATGAGATTTGGAGAGCCCCCATGTTGGGAAGGGGAAACCCCAGGACCTTGTTCTATGAGTTTGAACCCTCCTTCTTGATGTCCTGTAGAAGAGTTCAAGCGGTAGCACCTCTGCGGGGCCTCTGGATTGTCTGTGAAGAAGCCAGGAGGCCTGTGTCTCCTCTCTTTTCAACCAGACCTGCCACTGTGGAGCCTCGAAAGGCAAAACCCTGTATGCAGGACCTAGGTGCTCAGAAGATGCCTGGGTTGGGCGTGGACACTTGGCTTCTGGGGCCCTTCCTCAGTGACTCCTTTCCCTGCCTCCACCTCAGGCCTGGACACCCAGAGTCTCTGCCTAAACTCTGCAGTGTCCAGTCTCTGTTGCACACACCCCAGGAGAAGCCCGTGTGGGCCACAAGCCTGCCTTTGTCAACTCAAGCCTCACATGGGACCGTGCCAGGAGGGGCTGGTGGGTGTTTTGCCTGCAGCTGGAGCAAGCCAGCAGAGGCCTCGGCCCCCCAAACCCTGTCAGATACAGAGCTGGCATGTCCACAACTGCCTGCACTGTGGTGAAGGCAGTTCCCTGAGAGACAGCTGCTCGGGGAGACATTCGTCCGCTTCTTCCCTGGACGTCCGTGTCAGGCCCGGGGCCAGGACTTGTGCTGAGATGGGACTCTTGTCTTCTGTGGGGAAGAAAATGGGAAAGAAATTCTTTACCTCAGAATCACTCAGGGGACCCACCCCCTAAGATTCTGACTCAGTAGGTCTGGATGGGAATATGTTTTTTTTTTTATCAGGTTTCCACTTTTTGGGGGTGCAGAGCATTGGGGTAGAACCATATCCCCCAGCATGTTAGGCAAACGCTACCAGTGAGCCATAGCACTGTCCCTGGGGACCACTGTCATTCAGAACCAGGTAGAGAAATTATGATTGACATTTTCTGTGTTTTTCAAAACTTGGTTTGACCGTGTACTACTCTCACAGAAGCCAGGTAGTTACTGAAAGCTAAGCTCGGAGGGATAGCAACCTCATGCATCTGTTAATGTGCCCAGCAGCGTGAGTCTGAGCATGCCCCCGTTCTCCCCTTGACTCATGCTGACCTGGAGCGTCACTCAGACCCCACATCCTCCCAGTCGCTGTGTTCTGTCAGAGCAACCAGGGGACTGTGTGAGCTGCTCACAGATGGCAAGGCTGCGTTTGTACGTGGGTCCCTGCAGCCGGGGCCGTGTGGATGTTATGTGTCTGCCTGCATCTCCTGCCCCTTACTTCCTGCTCCCTTCTGTGCCAGCTGAACGCCTCACTTCCTCATTTTTCTCACTGGCTGTCTCGCTTCCCCCCTTTCCACTTCCTGTCTGCCCAAGTACTGGGCATGGTGTCGGGGGGTGACTTTACTTTGGGATGGGGTGTCCACGGAGGTGACTGCCCCTCTGCAGCCAAAGGCAGGGTCATCCACTTTAGAGTGATGGTGAACACGCCCCAAGACACAGTCTGGTGTGGCGAGTGGTGATACACCGATCAGCTGTTAGTGGAGGGAGACAGCATGGGGGGGTGGACCAACTCTTACACAGAGTTTCAGACGAGCTGACGGAAGTGAGGAGCTGATGGGAGCTGGTGACAGAGGGGCAGTAGGTGGCCTTCCTGAATGAGGTCACCTGTAATTCCCTCCGCTTGAACCTCAAACCAGCTGGGCAGTGGTGGCGCACACCTTTAATCCCAGCACTCAGGAGGCAGAGGCAGCCAGATTCCCCAATTTGCCACTTCTGTCTGCCTTTCCTGTGTTCTGAGAAATAGTTCCAGAAGCCAGGCAGATGGATGTGAGGACCCTGGGGTGTGGGGAGGCCCAGATAACATGGCTTCTCACTTATCCATCAATCCAGCTGGCCACATCCCTTTCCCACAGGGAGCCACTGCAGCCAGGCCACAGTCTGGACCCATTGCGGTCTAGACCCACAGCCGGGCTTGTCTTGCTGGCAGGCAGATGTGAGGAGAGGCCCTATGATTCCTTTCCCAGACTATGGAGGCCCCTGGGGTCAGCAAAGGGTGTGGGGTGGGTACTCCCCTTTATTCCTATCATCTTCTGGGGACTCCAGCCTTCCAGATCTGGTTCCTTCTCCAGAGTGGCCTTTCTGTTCCTGGTTCCCTCCCTGCCTCCATCAGTACCAACCCTGAGTGCTTATCCTGGCGAGTGCCTCTGTCAAGGCTTCATTCCTGATGACTCAGTTTCCCTTCTCTGTGTGCAATCTTGTTTAAGATAACAGATATTATTCATGTTGGTGACTCAGTTTCCATATTTGATATGAGACATAATTATGTGTTTCTTCTGCGAGGTGTCCTCTATGTAGTGTCTGGTAGTCCCCTGCTGTCTTTCACAGCAGGAAGTCCCTCCCTCTTGTTCTTTCTTCCTTAACTAGGCATGCTTTTCTTCATTCAACTAATACTCATTGGGCGTCTGCCGGAGGCTAAGCAGGTGCTAGATGTCAGGCCGGGCAGGTGGGACAACCTTCCAGGCTCCCCTGGTTACTGGGAGGCCAACTCTTCCACAGAGTTTCAGATGAGCTGACGGAAGTGAGGAGCTGATGGGAGCTGGTGACAGAGGGGCAGTAGGTGGCCTTCCTGAATGAGGTCACCTGTAATACCCTCCGCTTAAACCTCAAACCAGCTGGGCGGTGGTGGCGCACGCCTTTAATCCCAGTACTCGGGAGGCAGAGGCAGCCAGATCTCTGTGCGTTTGAGGCCAGCCTGGTCTGCAGAACGAGTTCCAGCACAGCCAGGAATACACACAGAGACATCCTGTCTCAAAAAACCAAAACAAACGAACAAACAAAACCCTCAAACCAGACCTTCCAGGCCCTGTGTGGCTGACCCCTCTACTCCCCCAGCTTTGGTTTTTTTTCTTTTTTGCTTTGTTTTGTTTGGGTTTTAGATAATCTCGTATAGCTGAGGCTGGCTTTGAACTCATGATCTTCCCAACTCCATATTCCCCCATTCCCCTGTCTTTTAAGCAAAAGTAAACAAACAAAAATTTTTGTGAGACAAGAGTCTCACTATGTAGCCTTGGCTGGGCTGCAACTTCCCATACAGACCAGGCTGGCCTGGAACTAACAGAGATCCTGCCTCTCTGCCTCTGCCTCCTCTAAGTGTTGGAATTAAATGTTTGTGTCATTATTAAACAAAAACAATTTTTAAATTAAGTTTTTTGTATATATGTGTCCCACAGAACCAATGAGGAGGTCAGAGGACAGCTTACAGAGGTTGGTTCTCTCCTCTCCTCCACCATGTAGGTCCCAGGGATCAAACTCAGGCCACCAGGCTTGCTGGCCAGCACCTTTACCCATCTTACCAGTCCCTTGATGGATTTTTTTTTTCTAGAATGGGGCCTCACTATGTAGCCATGGCTATCCTGGATCTCACTCTGTGGACCAGGCTGGCCTCGAACTCACAGAGATCCACCTGCCTCTGACTCCCAAGTGCTGGGATTAAAGGCGTGCACTGCCACCGCTGTCAACCTCTTGGTGTGTCTGGATGCGTTGAGTTCTTTCCTACCTCTGAGCCTTTGCACACACTGCTCCCTCTCCCTGGATCTCTTGTGGACATCGCTTCTTGCCTTGGCTTAAATGTCCCTTCTTTAGAGAGGGCCCCCTTGACCTTGTCCCCTAACACAGCACCCCCCCCCCCCATGCTGCTCGCTAACGCGTTGCCCTGGTTTGGTGTGCAGCGTCGCGTCAGTTAGGCAGCTGGCACTCAGGAATGTTTGTTGAGTACATCCTGGTGTGTTTCCCCTCGCTTCTGTAACAAATCGCCTCTGTTGCTTTGACAAAATACCCGAGGTAACCAGCTTACAAGGAGGAACGCGGTGGCTTGTTCTTTGCCTCACTCACCCTTTGGAGGCTTTGCTTCATTTTGTGCCTGCTGTGACATAGAGCATCGTGCCAGGGGGAGTGTGGCACAGGAGGCTGCCTACCTCGTGGTATCCAGGAAGCATGGAGGGAGGGGACTGGGTACCAGTTCCCCTTCAAAGGCACCTTCCAATGACCTGGCGCCCTCAGCTCCTGAAAAGGGCACACCACTTCCCAGCAGAGGCACAAGGAAGACTTAGCCGGTAGCAGGTGACTTGGCGGGGACGGTTACGATCCAGATCTTCAGAGGGGCGTAGCATCTGCAGTCTGAAACCAAGTCCCAGCAGGCTGCACGTCTGCTGAGTGTTCTAGGGTGTTCTCCATGGCCTTTTGCCCCTTGTGGAGGCTGCCTGCGTTTCTTGGCTGGTGGCCCTTTCTCCACCTGCAGAGCCTGTCTGCCTTCCCTCTACTAATGTCTCTCATTGTTCGCTCCCACTAACCTCCCTGTCAGGGCCTATCCAGATAGTCCAGGATAACGCTTCTGTCTGGAGACCCTTATCTTAGTCACATCTGCAAAGCCCCCTTTGTCACAGAAGGCATATATTTACAGTGCCTGGGAGTTCAGCTGTGGTTATCTGGGTGTTATCTGGCCTATAACCCCAGGCCCCCAGGGCTGCTTGCCAGATGTGGCCAGCATTCAGGCACCCTGGCCACTGCCATGGTATCTGGGGATCTGACCATTCCTCCCTCCTGCAGGATGAGATTGAGGAGCTGCGGGCTGAGATGCTGGAGATGCGGGATGTCTACATGGAGGAAGATGTGTACCAGCTACAGGAGCTCCGGCAGCAGCTGGACCAAGCCAGCAAGACCTGTCGCATCCTGCAGTACCGACTGCGTAAAGCCGAGCGCCGCAGCCTCCGTGCGGCCCAGACAGGCCAGGTGGATGGTGAGCTCATCCGTGGTCTGGAGCAGGATGTCAAGGTTAGTCCGGGCGTCTCCACCAACCTTTTTTATAGGTGCCCGTGATGGGTGGTTGGGTCATGGGCCCCACTGGGGATCCAGGATATCCCTGTAGCTTACTGCTTACCTTGGGCAAGTTATCCTGCCTCTCTGGGTCTCAGTTTCTCCATCTGCAAAGTTGGGACCCGTGGTGGATCAACAGGTCCTCCAAATGGGATATCCCAAAATGATATGACCAGAACCACCACCACCACCAATACACACACACACACACACACACACACACACACACACACACACACACACCCCAGCAGCAGCAGCAGCAGCAGCAGGAGGCTCTTTCTTGCCTGTACCTGGCCTCTGAGTGGCCTCCTCCACAGTCCCTGCTCAGTTCTACAGGCTCCTTAGGCTACTGAGAGACAAAGGAGTCAGCTAAGCTGGGCTGGCTCAGAGCTGGGCTCTAGTATGCCTGAGTTTTGTGATTTTGAGCAAGTCACCTATATTTCAATTTCCCCATCTGTAAAATGGATGTAAGAACATCCAACCCGGGATATTGAAATCGTGGCTAAGACACCAGAGGGACCAACAGTGATTAGCCTTTATTATTGCATCTGATTTCTGGATGAGGGTTCTGGGGCTCAGAGGGGGGTTGGCAGAAGTCAGACTCACCCACCCCCAGACCTCACTGCTGGACCCTGCTGCTCCCCTGCCTCAGGAGCAAGCAGGGATGGCCCCACTCAGACAGGTGAGGGCTCCAGGAGAGAAGTCTCCACTGCCTGTCTTATGTAAGCCCTGGTGAGGGTCCAAACCATGGGTCCCTGAGCCAGCCCTCTGCTCTCAGAACACAGCCCAGTGTGAGCAGGGGGTTGCGGGAGCTGGGGCTGGTACAGAACAGAGTCTCGTAGGTTAACCTCCGCACTGGGGCCCAAGAGAAGAGAAGGCCTGAGCTGCCGGTAACCAGGGATGTTCCAGGGAAGACTCCCAAGGGCCCCCGAGGGCAGACAGGTGCAGAGCCATCCACACAGGCCTGTTGCCGGAGGGCACTGACTCAATCCAGCCTCGCAAGCCACTCTTAAAGGACGCTGTTCATTCCAGAACCAGTGTTGATTTAGGAAAGCCGTGGTGGCTCAATGCAAGCCTGTGTACCTGCGTGGAGCCAGTTTTCTTGACTGCACACACAGCAAGATCCTGATTTTGTTTTTGTTTTTGTTTGTAACAAAACAAAACACGGTTTGAAGGAAAAAACAAAAAAAACCCAACCCTCCATTTCCCTCATTGGTTAGAGACGCCTGAGACGGAAGGTGAGTGGAGAAGTCCGGGCAAATCTGCCATCGGGCCCTGGTCCTTGAGGATTTCTGGGAGGGACCCTAGACAAGCCTACTAGGAGATGAGGGAGTGGGGAACAGGCTGGTGGGCGGGGCCGGAGCAGCTGGGGTGGGGGTGGGGCTCAGCCCTCCAGGAGGAGGGGAAGGGCCCCTTCTGTTGGGATTTGAACCAGCCAATCAGCATCTCCGTGCTTCCCCTGCCCCCCTCCTCGCTCCCCTCCCCTCGCAGCTGCAACGCTGAGCTCATGCTCTGGCTCAGCCCGCGCTGGCCACAGCTTTGCCATCGCCCTTCGCCCCAGCGTGCTAGGAATGTTAGAGGCAATTATGGAGGTCCTCAGAATGCTGACTTCCCCTAGGCAGGCTAAGGGAGCCAGGTGGAGAGGGACTGGAAGGGGTATGCCTAGGGATTCCTCCTTTGCTCAGCAGGCTCCTTGGCCCCGTGCCCTGCAGGGCTTTTGCGCTCCAGTGGTTTTATTGGGCACATTGTTATTTGTGAGTTTTCCCCCACTGCCACCCCATAACAACCCTCCCAGGCTCTTTCACTTTTTTTTTTTTTTTTTTTTTTTTTTGGTTTTTCGAGACAGGGTTTCTCTGTGTAGCTTTGCGCCTTTCCTGGAACTCGCTTTGGAGACCAGGCTGGCCTCGAACTCACAGAGATCCGCCTGGCTCTGCCTCCCGAGTGCTGGGATTAAAGGCGTGCGCCACCACCGCCCGGCCTCTTTCACTTTTTGCTGGTCCACCCAGTTAACAAGATCTTAGACCCTCAGCAGGCTGGTAGCATGAGGATGGGAGAGTCACTGGATAGAGACCTGTGCTCCTGCCACTTTGTGGCTGTGTGGCCTTGAGTAAGCTGCTTCACATCTCTGATCCTGTTTCCCCTGTGGAACATGGAGATAAGTTCAGTTCCCTATAGGACTTTTATGAATATAAAATGAAATTACTGTAGAGAGTGCTGTGTGATGGGTGTGGTAGCCGTCAACTGAGCATATGATGGGAGGGTGTCATGGGTAGGGACACTGGGGTCCCACAGCTTTTTCTTGTACAAGGTCCCAGAACACATCAGTAATATGTACCCCATCCTTAGATAAGGATGCTCTGGCCTTGGCTGTGTCCTGGGTGACCTGCATCATTTTCTCCTCAGAGCCTCAGTTTTCCTCTGTGTAAAGTGGGGTGACACTCCCATCATGTGATTCTTGAGAGAATTCAGTCACACGTGGCTCAGGATGCTGCCCGGCCTGGGATGCTGCTTATCGTTTCCATCTCTCTTGCTGAAGATCAGAGCCACAGGGACGTACTGCAATCCGAGGTTCAGAGCCCAGAGCTGATGTGCCCAGGAGCTGGGGGCCCTCCGCTGCTGATGGCCTTTGGCAGGGACCAAGGCCGGCACTGTAAACAGTGACCTCATGGCTGAGCACATTTGTTTGTGCTTCAGGCATTTGCCCCGTGTCCGGATGCTGCAGCTGCCTCTCCCCTCTTGGTCTCTCGGCCCCCTCCTTTGGATGTAACTGTGGGGCCCAATGAGACAAGCACATGGGGCCCTTTAGGTCCTTCTGACATAGTAAGCCATGTTGGGACTTGTCCTTGACAGCCCCTTGTTCGTAGCTTTATGCCTTCAAGCCTGCCCCCACAGCATCAGCTTTAGACCTTTTCAGTCATGTGACCTTGGGCAACTGACCTTTCCTTTCTGAGCCTCAAAGTGGAAATGAAATGTGTCCTGAGGGTGAGAAAAGCTTGTGGTGCCAGCCTGGGGAGCAGCTAACTGGTTCTATAAATGACCTGTGAGAGCCCAGGGCTCTGGGACCACTGGAAATCTGGGAGGGGAAGGCAGGGCCAGGCCGTGGTTCCTGCTGCCCACTCCGGCGGTGGTGGTGCCCTTTGCTTCCTGGCCCTCATGGAGGCTGCAGGGCACTGTAGGGATCTGAGCTTGTGGGCTCTTCGGTCTAGAATTCTGCAGCTTGGGGGGATGCTTTCTTAACATGGGGCCCTGGGGTGTGGAGAATTAGGACCGGGAATCCATGGAGAAGGGAGAGGATCCAGGAACTCTCATGGGGACCAGATGCGCTTCCCAGACAGAGGCTATGGTGGATATGGGGACACGTCCCATCCCCACGCCCCATAGAAGCATGTTTGGGAGAGGACCTTGACCCTAGTAGCCCTCTTTAGACAGTGGGGCAGGGGCAGGGGCAGCTCCCCACACATGTTCAGCCAGCCACTCCTTCATCATGTGCTGGATCCTCATTTGTTTGTTCACCCAACAAACAATTATTAGGCATTTAGTGTATGCTAGGCCCTGAGCTGCTCCTGGGACGCACACGTGAATGAATCCGAATAGGCATGGCCTTGGTCTCTGTGGTCCACCACTTCCACCCCAGTGCCAAGGCAAGATGAATGAATGAATGAATGAATAGAATGTTGGTGAGGAGAGGGCTTCCTGAGTAACCTAATAGCCCCACATTGGGGACTTTAGCCATAAGCCTGGGCCAAGGTGCATAAAACCAATGCAAAGAGGCAAAGCAGTAATCAGTAATACAATAAAAATGCTTTTGTGGCTGGGCAGTGGTGGCACACGCCTTTAATCCCAGCACTGGGGAGGCAGAGGCCAGCCTGGTCTACTGAGCAAGTTCCAGGACAGGCTCCAAAGCTACACAGAGAAACAACCAACCAACCAACCAACAAACAAACAAACGCTTTTGTCGCTGGGCTGGAGGTGTAGCTCAGCTGACTGAGTGCTTTGCCTAGCAGGCACGAAGCCTTGGCATTGGTCTTCAGCACTGCATAGACTCAGCAAGGTGGCATACGCCTATTAGCCCAGCACTTGGGAGGCAGAGGCAGGAATATCAGAAGTTCAAGGCCATCCCCGGCTAGTAGCAAGCTCAAGGCTCGGATGGGGAGAAGAAGATTTCCTGGCTGGAGATGTAGATGAGTGGGAGCGTGCTCGCCTAGTGTGCTTGAAAGTCCAAGGTTCATTCTCAGCCCAGCCTGAAACAAAAATCCCTGTAGAGATGGTTCCTTGAGCTTGTGGCCTTTGAGCGGCTCTGGTAGTTCTTAAGTATCTTACACAATCAAAAATAGGTCATGAAACTATGAAATAAATGCAACTTTGTAATACATTAATAAATAGAGTGGATTATTTAAAAATAATAGTAAATAAGAAGCCTTGTATTTTTTGATTACCTTCTGGATTCCAGCCACCACCCAAGCGCCCCCGATGCCATTTCCTCCCCGCAGCAGCCCTCATGAGCAGTGTATCCCCCCATTTATTGCTGACCACGTGGCCAGTGAATGCTGGCCCTGGGCTTGAATCTAGTTTTCTTCTCTGCCAAATCTTTTCTTGGTATCGAAGGTTGGCCTACCCTACTTTACGGGTTGAGGAAAGCTTTGTGGCCCAGGGTGGCTACAGGGGAGGCTTGTGGGCCTCCATCTGGCGTCCCCAGAGAGCTTCGGGCTGGAGGGGGCAGTGGGCAGAGGAGGGAGGAGAGGCATGCCCAGTTTCCTCTCAAATGTTGTTTTTCCTGGCCTTCCCCGCACCCTACCAAAGGGGTCTGTGCTGAGTTGGGCCTGGGCCCAGGCAGAGGGCAGAGCCAGGGAGGGCCTCTTCCCTTCCAGAGGGAGGAGGCGCACGGTCATTTCCGACACGGGCAGGCTTGGGTGCTGGGCTGTCTGTGCTGCACAGGTTTTGCTGGCAAAGCCTTCAGACTCCTGGGGGACCCTGGCTGTGCTGGCCGCTCCAAACTCCAGGGAGTCCCAGTCCAGCCCAGCCGTGCTCGATGTGTGTGACCCTGAAAAAGTCACTTCTGAGTGTCTGTAAAGTGAGGGCAGGACTAGCATCTAGGTGTTAGCAGGGCCCAGCCTACCTGGGGATAGCATCTGTTTGCGTTTTACCAGCTCAGGAGGGCTCCCTTCACCCCACCCCAGCCCCCCTGCCCTGCCACAGCCAGCAGCAGGGGCAGGACAGAGGGGGATCCTCCAGAGTCTGGGGTGCTCTTCCTGTTGATCCTAGACCCGGGATTAGAGACTGCCACTCTGTTAGCTGCGTCCGAGGGATACTTGGACACTTGTCCAGCCTCTGTCATTCTAGCATGTTCTATATCCCAGAACAGGCCTCAGGGTCACTGTGACCTCCAGCAAGTCATGCCTGTCTCTGGATGTCGGTTCCTGGGAGCAGCGGCCACAGGTCATCAGGCACTCACTGTGGCAGGCGCCGGGTGAAGGCTTTGTGAGCAATAGCTGATGTGATCCTCCTGTCAGTCCTGAGATTGCCCTGTTATGCTGTACCCATTTTATACAAGCCGAGAACACTGAGGCACGGGGCCAGGAAATGACTTGCTGAGGATTACATGCTGCCCATTTGGTACTGGGCTTCCAAACTAACCCTCTTCTCTCACAGGCTCCCCCAGCTGAATATAAAGGCACCTGTAAGAACAGAACAACCCAATATGTTGCCCCCAAAAGCTGGGTGCCTGGGTTTGGGTTTGGGGTGTGTTAATCCCTAGATTCATGGCTCTTGGGTGAGTCTTAGGACCCCTTGTGCCTCAGTTTCCCTGTCTGCTGAGTGAGGGTGATGAGGTGACTCTGACTATGGTGGGATGGTCACTGGGACTCCAGGTGTGTCCTCCTTCAGCTTGAACATTCTCTCTCTCTCCCACCCTGGCTCAGGTCTCTAAGGACATCTCCATGCGGCTTCATAAGGAGCTGGAGGTGGTGGAGAAGAAGCGCATGAGGCTGGAGGAGGAGAACGAGGGGCTTCGGCAGAGGCTCATCGAGACGGAGCTGGCCAAGCAGGTGCTACAGACGGAGCTGGATCGTCCCAGAGAGGTGAGCGCTACAGCCCAGCTGGCCCGGGTGGGTGGGATGCGCATCTCCGCCTGATTGCTTGTGGACCGAGATGGGTACCCTTGGGCCTCCCTGGCAGTGTTGATTATCCATTCATCCTTCCAGCATGGATTTGCTGAGTACCCCATCTGTATTCTACACTGGACGTTCAGACTAGAGTGGTGAAGCCGGGTGGTGGTGGTGCACAACTTTAATCCCAGCACTCGGGAGGCAGAGCCGGGAGGATCTCTGTGAGTTCTAGGCCAGCCTGATCTACAGAGGGAGATCCAGGACAGGCACTAAAACTACACAGAGAAACCCTGTCTTAAAACAAAAACAAAAACAAAAACAAAAAACAAATAGAGTAGAGTGGTAAGCAAGGTTCACTTACTGGGATTAATTACTCTCTGGGATTATTGAGGGTATGTTCATCAATGCCCAGCATACAGATGAGGGAACGTCTGTGCCTCAGTTCCCTCCCTCATCTGTAAGGTTGGGCAATTGTTCCCTGCTCACTGAGTGGGCTACTGACTAGCTTGTGTGGACGTGCTTTAGGGACTAGTGTGCTGTCGCCACTTGGTTTGAGAAGGATGCTAGGCCAGGGTCTCCCACTTTTGTCTCTGAATGTGACTCCAGACCCCATGTTCCCCATCCTGGTTGATGTCGACCTCTCCTCCTGCTGTACCCTCCTCCAGCTGTGAGTTAGGCTGGACAGTTTGTCTCAGAAATCTTTGTAAAGGCCCAGCAAAGCTGTGATCCGTTTCACGGCTGAGCAAACAGCTTCCTTCTGGGAGAGGGAGGTGGGTTCTCAAGGTCATGCAGACTGCCGGGACTTTGCAGAATGCCAGTGGAAAACCATCAGCCCGGGTGATGTAAGCCTAAATACTTCCTGATTCCAGGGGGAGTGTGTGTCCAAACACTAGGTGGCCTCTGGCCCCAGAGGCACAGCTGGCCCTCAGCTGGTTGGCTGCTCATTAGGCATCCCAGGCTGTACATTTTCTGGGACGCCCACCTGCTTCCCAAGAGGGCCAGCATGCCAGCAGTCCAGAACGAGACATCACGGTCCCAAGGGCAGAGCAGTCCTTTGGCTGCCCTTCACACTGGGCGAATTGTTGCCATGTGCCAGTGGCCCACAGGGCGGAGAGGGGAGGATCTACCCTGAGGGTTGTTGTGGGAGGTTTCCTTCCTTTGTGCCCATCGTGGACAGCCTACAGCACTGGGTGCCATCTGCACACAGTCTTGTTGCTCCCATGTCTGATGGTGAAAAGAAGGGGCGTTACAGAGTACCCTTAGAACACAGCCCGTTCTTCATGCACAGATAGGGAAACTGAGGCCCTCAGCTGCAGCTTGTTGAGTTTGCCCCAGGCTTTCCTTGACAAAGATGTGACTGAAGCCACTTCCCCTCTCTGAGTCTTAGCTCCTTCCTCTTAAGACAGTGGTTCTCAACCTTCCCCATGCTGTGACCCTTTAATACAGTTCCTCATGTTGGGACCCCAACCATAAGATTATTTTCGTTGTTACTTCATAACTGTAATTTTGCTACTGTTACGAATCATAGTGTAAATATCTGTGTTTTCTGATGGTCTTAGGTGATCACTATGAAAGGGTCATTTAACCCCAAAGGGGTCATGACCCACATGTTGAGAAATGTTGCTCTACGATATCAGGATACAAATAGTTGCAGTTTACGAGACTGTTTTGGATCACTAAGAAGTTTGTGTAACCAGAGGGACCAGGGATGCAGCCCAGTGGTAGAATCTGTGCCTGGCACATGGGAGGCCCTGGGGTCAATCCCTAGGGCCGAAAAGAAAAGAAAACAAACAAAACAAAACCTTTTGAGTGACTATAGAATACTCTGAAGAAGTTAGAAAGAATAAGGTCATGTGACCATTTCTCAGAACCCTAAGGACAGAGTTACTGCCTCACCCAGCAGTTCCAGTTCTCGGTATATCCCAAAGAACTGTGAGCAGGGACACAGAGATGATCGAGCCTCCATGTTCATAGCATCATTCACAGTAGCCCAGAGGCAGAACAACCCAAATGTGATGATGGATGGATTTACAAAGCCAGGTGTGTATGTGTCCTGGGACAGTTGTCTAACCTGGAGGATTGAAGTGCTGATACACACTACAGCATGGATGGGCCTTGAAAACATCATGCCATGTGAAGGAACCCAGATACGTGAGGGTAAACGTTGTAAAGTTCCATTTATCTGAGAATCCTAGAGTCGTCAGATTCCTAAGACCGGGAGTAGAGGTACTGGGCAAGGGAGGAGGGAGCCAGGGCTGACTGTTCAGTGGGAGTCGGGGGCAGAGCTTCAGTTTGGAGCAATGGAAGGGCTTTGGAGACAGATTGTGCTTGCCATACAGAAGGAGTAGATTTAAGCCGGATGTGGTGTTACCACCTACTGTCCCAGCACCTGGGAGACAGAAGCAGGAGGATCAGGAGTTCAGGTCATTTTCAGCTCCCCAGTGAGTTGGAGCCACGCTGGGCTACATGTGACCCTGTCTCACAAAGAGAGCCTGGGTTCAAACCTTAGCACCAGAAAAACCAGAAGTAAAAAATGGTAATTATATGTTAAATATACTTTACCACAATAAAAAAGAACGTTTGAGATGGTAAATTTATATGATAGAACCTTTACCACATGTTTAAAAAGTAGAAAAATATGTACTGATATGAGAAGTTCTCCAAGTTTTCTTGTAAACCCGGGAAGGAAATGAGGGAGCTAGGCCTGGTGGCCAGACCCGTTATCCCAGCTACCTGGAAGGCTAAAGGGAGGGGATGGCACATCCTAGTCCTGCCTGAGCTGCAGAGGCAGTTTAAGGCCAGCTGAGGCAATTTAGTGAGACCTTGTCTTGAAATCAAAAGTCAATAAAGGGCTGGGAACATTGCCCAGGAGTAGAACACTTGCCTAACACGCACGAAACCCAGGATTTGAGACCCACTAGAGCCAAAAAAGAAAGTTACAGAATTGCATATATTGAAAAATCCCACAAGTTATTTTAGATCTCATACATACCAGGGTAGGGTGGACTCTTGAGCTATACCACCAGCCCAAAGTTAGACAGTGTGTGTGTGTGTGTGTGTGTGTGTGTGTGTGTGTGTGTGTGTGTGTGTGTGTGTATCTGTGTCTGTCCACAGCAGGTGTGAGGAGGTCAAAGGATAACTTGAAGAAGTTGGTTCTTTTCTTCCACCCCATGGATCCCGGGTACCAAACTCAGGTCACCAGGGTTGGTGGCAGGTGCCTTTACCTACTAAGTAGCCCCACAGCCCTACTCGTGGAGCTTCAAATGTAAATTTTAGGATTTTAATGTAAAGAGCCCAGAATTGACCCTGACACAGAGTAGGCGCTGAAGAAACCTGTTCTCTTTCCTGGGAAACAGATGCCTCAAGTCTGGTCTGTCCTGATGTGTGGTGTTGGCTCCAGATCCTGTTTATGTGCTGTTTGCCCTCTTCTCCTCCCTCTCCTTCCTGACAGTGGTTGCTATGGAGACAAGGGTCCCTCAGCACTTCTTCTGCAAGAGCTACAGTCCCATCCTCACGACCTGCCTTTGCCATCCTGACAGGTTGCTGGGGCAATGTTGTCACCCGACTGAGAATGGGAGCCCCTGCCCTGAGCTGATGCTTGTTGCTATGGAGACAGCTCGTGGTGAGACAGAAGGGAGGTGGCATGCCCTGACTGCTATCTGCAGTGGCACTGTGGCTCAGCTGGGCTGCTGCTTAAGAATCTTAAAGGCAGCTGCCCCTTCGTCCACTCTCATCCCCCTTGTATTCAGGCAGAAAGCCAGTGCGAGTGTGGTTTGTCCTCACATAGCTGCTGTGTCTGAGTGCTTACCCTGTGCCAGGCACAGCTTCCAGCCTTGCCCATGCGCCTTCATGATGTTTAACCCTCCACTGTCCCTGCTTTATAGGTACTCCTCCTTCATGGACATTTTAAAATTGCAGTTCAATTCGGTGATCACACAATACACCATCTTATAGTTCAGTCTCGTAGATTGATGTTGTATTGCCATCACCATGATCTAATTCCAGAAGACTCCCATTGCTCTTGTAAGTGACCCACACCTGTTAGCAGTCACTCTCTACCCCTCCCCTCCAGCTCCTGGCAACTGCTGGCCTGTTTTCTGTCTCTATTGATTTGTCCATTCAGGAGATTGCATTCAAATGGAATCAAGCAATGTGTGATCTTTGGTGATGGGCTTCTGTGACTTAGCCGAAGGCTTTCTGGGTTTAGGCATCCATGTTGAAGGACCTCATTTCTTTTCATGGCTGGGTAATAATCTATTGTGTGGGCTGAGTGCCTTATATTGAATAGATATTTGGGGTGGTTTCCACTTTCTGCTGTCGTAAATAATGTTGCAAAGGGCATCCCTGTTCACTTATTTTGTGATTCTGTATTGCACACAGCAGCGGAACTGCTGTCTATGACAGACTGAGGAAAGAGAAGTAGGGGATTCAAACCCGGGGCCCTGGGTCTCCCACACTTGTGCTGACTCCTACCAGAGATGCTGCTGCCCTGGCCCTGAGCCATCAAGGGGCTTTCACCCACATCAGTGATTTCTCATCTGGATTTCCTCCTTGGTGGGTGAGAAGAACACTACCAACCACCTGGGGTCAGGCCCTGGTTCTGCTGCTGTGCGATGTGTTCCGGCCCCGGTCTGTGAGCTGCAAGGCAAACCCAGCCATGGAGCCACGGAGGCCTGGGTGTGAATCTTGGCTTCGCTGTTTCCTTAAGAGCGACTGTAACCTTGGGCAGATGGCGCAACAGCTTTAGTGCTTGCTTGATCTGTTTACAAAAAGGGAAAATCAGTCCCTACAGCTTAGGGGCGTTTGTGAGAATTCAATGAGGCAGGCTGGGAAGTGCTCACCATAGAATCAGCGCTTGCTAAATACAGTATGTACTATTATCGTTACCATCTCAACCAGCCACTGGCTGCCGGCCTGGAGAAGCCTTCGCTGCCTCGCACAGGGGCTCTCCCCATAACGCTGGCAGCTGCATG